AATTAAATAAGCTTCAGTTAAATGATCTTTCTGTGTTTATCACATGTAAGCTGTTCTTAATTCACGTAGCATTACTAATGAATGGAAGACTATTTTTGCTGAAATGATAATTTAGAACTAATGTCCTAGGGAATGGTTGTCTTAAACACTACATTCAACAACCAGCTCATAATTACTTTCATGAACTAGTTCCCTGAAGTCAGTCTCAAAATGTAGATTAAGGGCTGCAAGGTCTATTTCTAGTACCGTTAAGTCTCTGACACAAACCTCAGTGACCAAAGCTCTTACATACACCATGGCTGTTGATGTCCTTTACTTGGCTGGAAGGGAAGACTCTACAGTGTCCACACTAACAGTGAATGCATTACAGGGACAATATGAATGCAATCAGCTCTCATCTACACAAGGTTGAGAGGGGAAGTGCAATCTGTTGTAAAAAATGTTTATGAAGACTTTTTCTTTTTTTTTTTTTTTGCTTATCCCTACTATAATGTCTTAAAATAGTCAATGTTAGATAAAAATGTGTGTTCCTGATTTGCACAGTAAGTTTTAAATCAAAGGAAAACAGTGACCTTTTAAAGCTTCAACACTCCTGACAAGCATGACCTAGCAGTAGTCAGGCTTTTACTAAGCACACCACTGCCAACTACCAGAAGCAAAGTGGGATGGCCGTGGCTACAGTCCTTGAAGGTTTGCCTTCATTCCCACTGCCTCTGGCTGGGAGAGCAAAAGTTCCCTTAAAGAAGAAATAAAAGCAGTGTAAGATTAGCAGCTTGTATCTGCTGGGGTACTCTAAGTCCACAGCCCACCACGCTGACTTGGTTTCAAGTGCGATCAGCAGAGGGAAAGGCGACACAAACATGATCTGAAGGGAAACACAAGTGCTGTTTACGGAATGTATTTGAGCAACCAGGAAGACACCTAGCAAGGATCTGTTACAACCATTCCTTTCCATCATGGAGATGTAGGAGACACAGTCCTTAGAGAGAAATTAGAACAGCAAGCCTTTTGTGCTCTTTGCCAAGGACTGAAGTGTGGGGCAAAGATGTGTTTGATTGGATTGTGCCACTTGGCACTGAACCAAGTGAAGGTTTTTGTGCAAGTGCTGCTACCTCCCTGTCCCTGAGATAGTCCTCCACATAGACAGCCTACTTTCTCCCCTGCCCCAGGAAAACAGGCTGCTGCTTGGATGCAATTTGTGATGGCACATGGGCTAAGGCACGCTGATAAGCTCATTTGGGAGTGGAAAAAAGATGGGGAAGATGGTCTCACTGGGTTTGTTTATGCTCTGTAGCCCCTTGCATTGATATAAAAGGATATGTTTGCTTTGCAAATATGATTTGCATTTGTAGCTCTAAAATGGTCTATGTGTTATCTGCATACAGCAATCTTTTGTTTCAAGGCATTGTCATCTGTTATGACAGGGTGTTTTTGCGTGAAAAACGAGTGTCTGAACAATTGTGTGAGTACAACTTCAGAATTTACTTTTGGGACTTTGACTACTGTCCCCAGAAATCCACACTGGCTTGCAAAATGTTACAGAATGGCATAATTTTATGGTCATTGGAATGGTCACTGCAGGGCTGTAAGAAATTTGGTTAATTGGCTGGAAGTAGATCAGTCTGTTTAGCTTTCTCCTGGCATAACTTGGAGATAATCTTCTCAGCTGTTTTTATCAAGAGTCAACCTCCTGCTCATATAGTTTTATTACAGTCCAACTGGCGCTTCTCTTTTATCTTCCCCTCCTCCTTTTCTAAAACAAAATTAACCTGTTTTTTTAATGTACGTGCAATATATACTGTCCATTAGAAGACAACCAGGTCAAAAGAGAAGCAACTCTAAATACTTAATATTTGTCAGCTAATGTGTATATAGATAAAACAATCTGATAACTAAAAATAATTTAAAATTTAGCTTCCAGGCTAGGACTTGGGGAAAAAAATTCGCTCTTGAATCTTTGCCAGTTTTGATGATGATATTTCCATAAAGTCATATTTGTTTCCTTTAAGAATATATTTCTTCCTCATTTTGTTTTAAATCCTTAAAGTATTATGTTTTCCTCTTTTGGAAATGGAGAAAAAAGAGGTAATGTATTTCATTCCAAACATCACTCATATACATAACGCAGATGTGTTTGCCTCAATATTAGTATTTAGGGGAAAGAATAACACACAGCACAAGCCAAGAATCTAAACATAAGGAATCCAGTCAGTGACCTTTAAGTCTTTGGATAGACCCTGGGAGCACCATTTTCTGTTCCATGCTGGGAGCAGGAAGAATGCAGTTTTCCCCTAGAACAATGACAGTTTGGTTGTACCCACCTACTACAAACAAAAGATAAGAGCTACTCAATAACAAAATGCTAGTTTATTTGGGCTCCATCGTGCTTTCGGAGAGAACTAGCAGTTACTTGAGATAACCTTTTCAAGGAAAAGTCAATATAGTTGATAACAAAACTTCCTTTAAGAGAATTCAAGCCAGGAACTCTTTTCTGTCTTCCATCCACTATGGTTGTGATGCAGCGTTTTGTTGAAGGCTTTGGTTGGAGTTAGGCTGTGATCCTTCTGTTTCTGAGCTCTCCTGAGTAGTTCTAGTTGCTTCAACTTTACAGACTTCTGGGTCATTTCAAATCCAAGTTTTCACTTACCAAGACTAATTAGAAACTGCTGAAAAGTAAGTGTTCTTAACTCAAGTTGGCACTTGAATCAGTAATCAGTAAGGAAATAGCTACAAATATAAGGAAATGCGTACTGTCCCTCTCTCTCATAGCTGATTATCCAAATTAAAATCCACTTTATATGCACTATTTTAACCCGTGTATCCCAGGTTGACCAAACAGAGTAAAGGACATGCTGCTGGGGGAACACAGGCAGAGATTCTCTTGGCTTTGGTCCCCCAAAAGGCAGGCAGTGAAGTAAAGGGCGGAAAGTCTTCCCAAGTCCTTGAAAATCATAGATTCCTCCACATTAGATGGTCTGAAGCTGTTCAGTTTTTCAGAACAGCCTCTTGTGAAAAAATCTACCGTTACCTTCAGAGTGTTTATATGGGAGGTTACAAGTCTGAACAGGCAATGATTTTCTTTAGCAGCAGTCTCCTTGCCATGCAGGTGACAGACAGAAGAAAGTTCCTGGAACTCCCCAGCGTTCAAAGGCAGACTCATGAAGTTTATGAACCCACAGGTTGAAAGCGCACCAACCCCCAAAATCCCGCCCTGGGCAGGGCTCTAAGGGAGGAACTGAGCAGCCAGAGATGTTTTCACCGAGGTATAACTCCAGAGCAGGATGAGGATGGGCTACATTCTGCTCTGCTCGAAACAGAAGCAGCGTGTCAACTCAACGCCGTTGGAGCCTTGGCTGTGTTTACAGACGAGGTGGTCCCTGCCAGGCCAGCGGGCTATTCAGGCACGGGATGTGGGGCATGAATGGAAGCATTCATTGCCTTTCTCTTCTCATGCTTCTCTGCGCCTCAGGGTGTTGATCCTGTGCTGTTGCCCCTTCCCCAGAGCGGAGGAAGAGGCTGCCTCTGTCCTTATTCCCCTCTACTCTATTTCCCTTCCAAAACAAAAAAGCAAGATTCAAAGCAAGATTCAGCGCAAAGAGCACTAATCTAAAATAAACTACCATTAGCCATAATAAAGTCCAGCGTATCTCCAAATTACCAGACTATCTACAACTCTGCAGAAAGTCCTGATAAGATAGTCCTCACTCCAGTTCAGGGAAAAAAAGCCCTCGCACATGTCAGATTTACTTCAGCCAGGTCATTTTCAAGGACCTGAGTATGTTCTGCACAAAAAGTCCTTTCCACATAGTCTTAACCTCTTAACTGCTTTTTAATGTCAGACATAATGTAGGTTAAAAAACCACAAAACCCCTCTGTTCTGAACTCACATGTGACCACATCAAGGGCCTCTACTTATGCGGAGGATTATTGAGCCTGTCGGACAGGTTATAACGGCTGGCTTCCCCACGGGGCCTCGCAACATCACGACACTGATTTTCTGCCTGATGTTTTCTGACTATTTCTAATGACTTTCTGCATAAAGCAGACTATTCCTCTAGACCCTTATTTCCCAGCAGCAGGAACCGCCGTTTCTGTTCAGCTAAGTTCCACCCCCCAACTGTCGGGGTGGAATAGCTGCTGCAAGGTTTGGCCACCCGACCCCGAGGAAAAGGCTTGAGAGCGAGTCTCCTCCTGCGGCTGCTGGCTCCACCAGAGGCAGGCTGCACACTCTGGAGAGCGTTTTCACTTTTCTTTGAGCTTTCCTCTTTGTATATGTTTCTGTAGCCAGACACATAGCTCTGTGTGTGTACAGACGACAGATGTGTTTATATTGCTTTATAGGTGGAAGAGTGTGTAGAATTACGTTTTGCCAGATGGATGTGAAATGCTAAAGTAGACTTTCACACACTTAGCTCCAACAAAATACCTTTTAAAAGTTGTTCCAATGTCCAGAATATCTTAAGTGTGTACTGTACTGCTGAAAGTAAGGTGCTTAAAATAAGAAAACAGGATATACTGAAAATCAAATCCACTGTATCAGGAAAAGAGAGGGAAACTCTGTTCCTTCCCCCATTACTGATAGTAACACTTTTTTTTTTTCCTTTTCTATATTTTAGAGCCTGAACCAGGTCAATTTTCCCAAGTGACAGTTTGCTCTCCGTGATGTAAACCTGCTAAGGATTTTTGCACATAACCTTTGAAGAAAGTAAGTCTTAAATCTTTAAGTACTGTGCCTGTAGCATGACACTTGTCACCTTTTTTATTTATCTTAAGAAGTGAGCAACAATTTTCAAAAGGCGCACTACAGATTATAAGGACAGCTTTGACAAGCCCAGAGGAAAAACGATACTGGTTTAATGCTTTGGGGGTTTTGGAAGAGTGTAGAGTACAAACTGTCATGAAGCCAACTTAATATAACTGTTTCCTTTATACTCTAAGGATTCACAAGGGACTTCACTGCTAGCATACAGGAAATAAAGTCTGTTGTGCTAGAACAAGACTTTGTTTCTTACGTATTAGAAAGCTACACAGAGTTTCCTTACAGGAAATGTTACAATTCATACAAATTCCCATATTTATTTGTAGACAAAAATTGCTATTCACATAGCAGGAAAACGAGATGAAAACAGAGACAGCATAGACTTAAGGCCGTTATGGGGTATCGGTGAACAGACCTACATGATGGCAATAAATACAACTACACAAAAATGTACTTAAATATAGAGATATTTTTATTATTGTCTCACTTTCCAGTACCAGCCTGATTTCTTAACAGGAACCCTTGAAAATAAATTGCTACATGAATGCATTTCTTCATTGAGGAGCTTGCAGAGTTTATTTTAGGTAAAGCCTGTCTTCTGTTACACTATTCGACCAAGAAATACCGACTTGGGATATTTTTCCTTTAGATCAGGCCACTGAACAATGAAGTAATCTGAAAAGTAGTAAAGAATCTTTCCAGACAGGGATAAAGTTTCCACGCGGCAGATGCTCTCTACATACACAATGATTGCTCTCTTTATTCCTAAAAGCCCAAGAAGAAGAGCAGATATACAGACAGGAACACATGTTCCTGGTCCGTTGCACAATATCTGAAAGAGATGAAACATTTTGCAAAACCAAAACATGAGTTTTTTCATACAGTAAAGAATTAAAAACATGCATATTCATGTAATGTTACACATACAGGAAAAAAATACTTCCAAAGATATTTTAAAAAACAGACGAGGCAAGCAAATATGATAAAAAAGGTGGGGGGGGAGGAGAAACAGGGCAAACAAAAGACATTATTTCAAAGTAGCTGCCAAAAAAAGATGATCTTTCTTTACATGTCAAAGAGGAGAAAAAGAGCTCTGAGATGGCACAGTTATTTCTATGAATGAAGCAGAATTCCTTGACTCGTGGGTGTATAACTAAAACAGCTTCCACACTCAGTCACAGCTTTGCATTGTATCAATCATGAGATTTGTGCACAGATTAAGGCATAATAAAGCCAAAGAAGTTTAGTTAGGATTACTAAACCTGGGATTTATAACCTCCAGTTATAAACGGCTTGAACTTTGGCTTAAGTCAGCAAAACACTTAAGAGTTCAGCAAAAATGTGCTGATGAATTAGGACCTTCATCAGAATCTACTAGCTGATATGCATGACTGGATTTTTTAATTTTCTTTTAATAAACACAGTACATAGAAACAAGTATCCAGAAGGAAGGTGTTTTGGTAAATACATGTCACGTCCTTGTAGCGAGGATCTCAAATTCACTTATAAATGTTAACAGTAAAAGAAAGTGGTCTTTCAATGTCAGACATTGATAAACTGAAAAACAGATTGCTTAATACAAAAAGGTTTAAACCAGGGTATGTGAGGCACTCTGCTTCGGTATCAAAATTGATTTCAGGCAAGGAATTTCTTACTAAATTTAACTACTACCATGTAATCAGCACTTCTCTGCACAGCTGGGGGTTACGTGGAAATAAAGAGCTCTTTTATAAAATCGTGGCCCTTTATCCTATGAACTCACATTTTTTTGTTCCAAGCTCACCACCTTGAGAAAGATATTACATTGGTGGGGAAAAAATAATAGTCAGTTTCTGTTTCAGGGCTGCAGCAAACATTTCAGAGTGTTTCCTTCCCTGCTTCATGTCAAGATCTCACCGATAAACTGGCTCACAGCACCTTGCCTCAGTTAACGGCAGCAGCTTTGGTGCTACTGAGTTCCAAACTTTCTCACCTATACTTTCCTTTGCCTTTAAGATGTTTCCAGAAAACTATCTTGGGGATGTGATGACCATAATGCAGTGTTTTCTTATCAGAATCCACAGAACGTACCACTGCATGCAAAATTATTCTGATTTTATTGTTGATCTTAACTGTACTATTTATTTATGCAAGACTTGCTGACATTTCCTGAAGGTCCCTTACAAGAAACACCTGTGTACTGTTTTAAACTTGAAATTTTGTGGTGTCAATAGCTGCAAATACTTGGGTAAGAAAATTGCAACAGCGTAATTCTTTTATATTAGCAATTATACACCTAAGCAGCAAAGAGGCTGATGAGAGTAATATACCATGGTTTCAAATCTCCTCTTCAACCCGATTTCAAGCATAGGACTGATTTCATGCTGAGACTTTAAAACCTACTCTACAATCTGCTGAGAATGAAAATGTGTTTTTTATACATTTGCCTTGGCAAAGAAGGTCATAACCAACCACACACACTGCCTTTTAGCATTTCAAAGAAACCCTTCCATAGCTGTGAAGTAAACCATGCATTTTGCCCTATTTCTTGATAAGTTTCATTAATTTGCACTAATGCTGATTCTGGTACATGGCTACTGATATCTAAATTTAAAGCATGCTTAGGTATCTCTATTTGTAGTAACATTTGTTACTGTAGTGTAAACGTAGCCATAAGCAAGGACCTGGAGCATTCTCCCGTGTTTGTAGCAAAACCCATCCCTGCTACACAATCTGCTCTGTTTCAGACAAGTGCATGAGAAGCACCAAAACAGTCCAAAAAACTATTTACTACTCTTTCTTGTGAGTTGAATATGCAGTCCGACTACTGATTTCAGAGTCAAAATTTGTCTTTAAGTGGACAGATAAAAATGTGCACCACTGCCAAACGGGGACTCCACTTTCCCTCTCCTCGAGCAGAACTGCCTGGAGTACATTGTCTCATCTTCATTGCTCTGCAAACCCTTTTTCTGTTACAGTATAGTCCTCTCCCCTGTCCCTCCCTCAGTTTCTTCCACTTTGATCTTTCTCTGTACTCTACCCAGCCCTCTGACGTGTCTCCCACCCGCCCTCTCTTCCCTGGTTTTCTTTGAGTTCTCTGGTATTCATCTCCCTCTGCATCCCTATTCCCAGGTGTCCTTCCACCTGTCTTCCTTCTGGACTCCTGCTGGCTCAGCACTCTTTCAGCCTCCATCTGCTGTGAAAGCTCAACCCAGCTGGCTAAAGCAAGGAGAGAGTTTCACATCTGTCCCTTACATTCCACATTCTGACACAAAAAAAATACCAGTCGCAGATATGACTGAGGTCAGGTAGACATCCTAACACTCTCCTGAACTGAGAATGGTAGAACAGGTTTTATAAAAAGCTGGAATATTACAATCATGGTCTCTATCAAGCCACTGTGCCATACATTTCAACCTTCTTCCCCCCTTTATTAAACTTGGCTAGAAGCTTCAGTCTTTTTGCTATTTGGTATTCTTGTGTCTAGATGCCCACACAAAGGCAAATGCTAGAATGAATTCCAAAGTAAGTGTACTTACAAAAGAACACATAATGAAAGAATAGCAAATAGGTCTATTTGTGAATCTATCTGTAGCTCTAAAGATCACACTGAGTTGCTCTTATTACTTTGCTGAGGTGCAAAACAGAAAAGGAATAATCAAAATTAAAAAAAATAAAAAAATACCTTTACTATATCCAGGTTTTGATACAATGCACTCAATTTATACCTTCTACCAACTGTTTATAACTTGTAAGCTGCTTCTCAGATGCCCTTTAATTCATGGAAAAGAACTTGCATGAGGGAAAAAGGATCAGTAAAATTATGGGCTAGGCATCTCTAAAAAAACATGATCTGATGATAACTCATGTCCTCTGCTCTTTCCCCTTCTTCATATACTGGTTCAAACAAGACAAAGTAGATGTGACTCTATAGGATCTCTGTATGCAAAAAGACCACAAAATAATCTATGGATGTTCCTATTCTAACATGCTTGGGTTTAGGAATTGTCCCCTGAAACAGACTCTGGTATAAACCTGCCGAAGCCAACAGACAGACGGATCCCTATCTGAATTTGGGGTTGTGATCTGTAAGTCAGAACCATTAATCAACCTTTCTGACCATTAAAAATTGACCTTAAGTTAACCTTCAGTGCGTGTCTAGAGACATGTCGTACCTAGAACTGGTGCAGTTGCTCACGTGTTGGAGTGACAATTCCCTTCCAAAAATCTGGTCTGACCAGTCCTACTTACTCCCTCTCACACTGTCAGCAAGAAGAGAGACCAGTGTTTCTGCTGCTTGGAATCTAACATCATACACTCATCCAGAGATATAACAGGGGAAACTTCTGAGAAAACAAGTATGCACATTATACAGAAGAGGAACTTTTGTGAAATCTGTGAGCTAGAAATGCTCCTGTTCACCTCCTGCCAGTATATGAAATTTTTGATGATGGAAAGGAACTGAATCATCTACAACCTTCCTTGAACTTGTAAGAGAAGGTGAGCTGTCCTACTAGTGAATTTCAAAACACCATTCAACAGTAAATTTTAGAGAATGATTGATGTCTTCCACCTTGAAAAGACCAAGGCTTTTGTTTCCCCCCTCCAGCAGAATACAATTATCTCTCAGGGAATCCACTGGCAATCGTTAGCGTGCTGTGGAGAAGCAGCAGACACCAATTGGGCAAGAAAGGACCAGGGCCTCTACAAGGTCAACTGGCTATTCAGGGTAAGTGTTTCCCAATATCTATTTACTTTAGCTACAAGGCTGCCTGTAGAATATTTGCATTGCACGCCTGTCTCTGAAGATCTCCAGTTTATTTAGTTCAACCTTCCTCAGTGAGGCAGCAGAAAGGGGGAAAGAAGGGGCCAAAGATAATTTTTCTGTCACCCTTGTGACCTCTCAAGCTGCAATTGCCCAAGGACTTTCCTGGTGACTGGGCTATCTGACTTTTCTGCCAACAAGCTGTAAGTGATCACATCAGAAGCCAGTGGTGCAGGTGTCTTTGTACCATTTACATTCTCCTCTAATGCAAAGAAATACCCACCTAACCGTTAAATTTGCTAACTGGCTGCCTGGCTTCACAGCTAGGCCTGTAAACTAAATCCTACATACTATGATCCCCCACCAATTCAATTTAACCAGACTTTTAAACAGTACAGTAAACTAATCAATCTATATATTAATGGAGGCGTAAAAATAAAGGATAGGAATACAATGTTTATACTTAGCAACTCTCTCTATAAATCTAATTTCCGATTAATCACTTTCACTTAAAAATGGGATAGTTCTTGCCTTTCTGTTTCAGATATTTTCTACAGCTGTTGAAAGAAAACAAGCTAAGCCAGCAGCCTGGCACCCTGGGAACACTGGCACATAGCACCACTGCTGATAAAAGCCGCTTTGGAGGCGGTGAATGCTGCACTGTAGCAGAGTGACATTTACCAGCTAAAACACTGAAAGCATAGCTCACAGCTTCACTGGGATTAAATGTCAAGCCACTGGTTAAAACGAAAATGAGTAAAGGAGAAAACTTGCAGTTTTTCTCATAAATATGTAAACATACCTTTGCTGTATATCGTTAATGAACAAGTATTTGAGTACTGCTTATGTTCCCAAATTACAAAAATCAAAGGGAGGACAACGTAAGTCCCCCTAAACTTAGTAGAAAGTGGAAAAGTAATGTGAGATTTGCTTTGCATAAGAAACTGTCAACACCTGCTGCTCTCCTTAATGACTTTCACAGAGATTGGTCTTTACCACCTGGACAAGAACAGAAAAAACTGCCCAGCTTTCTGGGGCTGGGCAGGCTCATGGTGTGGGAGTGTTGACTGTTGCTGCAAGGTGATGGG